GGAGAGAAGAACCAGGGAGCCAGCCCTATGAACTGCAGGTAAGCCTTCAATTAAAATACCTCCAGTTCCAGACTACGTGGGTTAGCTGTGTCTACTTCGTTTGATGGCTGAGACAGTGGAAAGAGACACTGTTAAATGAAATAAAATGCAGACACTTCAAGGGAAGAAACAGAGAAAACAAGAAAGGTAGAGGACTAAGACCACATCCAAAAGATAATCCCAGAAGTTAATCTGCCAAGGGGAGGAAAGTGTAAGGGCACCAAAGCAGTCTAAAGCTACAGTGGTACTGAAACAACACTGAAAAAGAACAGTTGCTCTCAACATGCAATATGCCTTGACTCTATTTTTAATTTTTTCTTCCATTATTTTAAATGTCAAAACCAGACAAAGTAAGGGTGTGAACAAATAAACCTTTACAAAAATACACTGGACTACAACAAAAACCCACAACATAATAAGACTGTAATTATTTCAGTAAAAATAACTCTCAATCATATGTAGAGAACTCAGGGTGGGCTGAGGACAGGAAAGCTAAAGAAGGGTGGCACAACACACCCCATGCTCACCTCTATCTCTCGGAGTTTGGCACGCTTTTCTTCACTCATTTCTGAATATTTGACTGATGACTTGGATTCAGGCATTTCCTCTTTAATAGGATTGGAATACATGTGTTGTTCTTCTGACTTAGAACTCTGTGTGTCTTCTTCATCTTCACTTTCTTCTTCTTGACTTTACAGAAAACATACAGAATTAACTAAGATGTCACAGATATCTTAAGTATATATTAAATGTACTATTTCTCTTACTTAGTTTCTATGATTAGTTACTAGTTTTGAAATTTGTTAAGTTAGATTATATGAGTCTGCAGCTATAAATTAGTCTCCATCTGTGAGACAGATCTTTCTCATTTAATTAAGCTGTTAGTTATTATTACTCACACAATTTACACTTTTCATAGAAAGAGAGTGCAGAAGAATGCATTAAATTCACAGTCATCAAATACACATCTACCTCGGCTACAAAAGGAAACCCACTCCCTCAGCAGAACCTCAAAGTGCTGTAATAGTGCTTTTCAGGTATATTAAGTTTAATTGAAGAACAGTGTTTGCTACTTTTGCTTTTGGGAGATAAACCTGAGAGATGGCAGGTACCCAAAATTATATTCCCAGGCTGGCCACTAGAGTGCTGCAGGACTCCATGCAATGCAGGAAGAATTCACAGCATTAACTAACAGATGCTCTCAGCTGCCTGAACAGCAAAGAGAAAGACAACTCAAAGCCAACTTCTGCTGGCACAGAACCCATCAACATCCAATGAAACACCTCAGGACGTGACTCACTGTGCTTGTTTCAGCGGCAGAATCACAGGTTTAGATTCATTCATATATACCTGATAGCAAGATTTCCATACTACCTTAGCTCTTACTATTTGATGCTGAATTCTCAAATCAGCATAAATTCAATTATAGTTAACAACTCTACCAAAAGATGTAATTTATCACATTAGAAAAAAATCATGGGGGCTGAAAGCATACTGCACTAAAAACCTAAGTTTTCTGTTCTCTTATTTTCCTACTTTCAAAATTTCATTTTTGTTCTTCTCATGTAATAACATATCCCTCTTATAAGGAGTTCCAAATACACTCAACCTTAAATATATAAAGTATGTTTTCATTAGAATGAAAAAGTATTTACTTTTGAATTTCTTCCTCCTCAGATTCTTCATGTTGGTCAAAAAGCTCCCACTTAGAAGTAGTAACAGCTAGAAGAGACAGTAGGATGATTTTAACAAGAAAAAAAAGCTACCACTTAATCTGAAAATTAGCATTTGTAATATAATTATAATAAGATATATACAGTATATAACATATAACAAGAAATGATGGTATATAAGAAATGTGGTGAAATTTACCAGCATCTAGCACTTAATACAGACTCTCTATTTCACAGGAATATTCAAACCAGCCCATTATCAGAATATTTACTATTCACAGAGCTATTCACTCACATTGCATATCATATTGCAGTAAATCCTTCAAAAGCAGACAAGTATTTGTCAGTTTAAAATATTATCTTTCAAACCAAGATTTTAAAAGATTGCCAGCCACATACCCAGAATTTTATTTTTTTTTTATTTCCAGTATTTATTCCTAATAAACTGGAAATTCATTTTAAGGGTTGATAGATTATTAAAGCAGAATAACTGTAACAGAATACACTATTTTCCTTTTTGGTTAAAAATTCAGTGAACAAGTTACAACAGAAAATCCTACTATGTTACAACTATTAGCATTTTAGCACAGATCAGCTGAAAATAATCATTACGTAAGTGACATTATGCTTCCAGTTTACTTCAGAAAAGATACTTCCAGAACTAACCTTGAGCTTCCAGTTCCGATTCATCCACTGCTTCCCACTTCGAAGGGGCAACTTTAAATATAGGCTCATTCTTTTTTGAATCTTCAGTTGTATCCACTGGTGGAGAGAGAGACACGGAAAAATAACTTACAAAGCTCTTCAGAAGCTGAAACTGAGAAGTACTACAATAACAGTCAGAATTAAATAATGAAACAGATTGTATAATCTTAGTGTTTGCAAAGTAAAGAAACCAAGGTTTAGATCCTGACATGTGTAACATCAGAAGACACCTCCTGGGCTTCTGAAGCAATTACTATCTAAAGATAGTATAGCATATTGAAATTAATCAACCTTTTACAAAGCTACATGTCAGATCAATTCTAGGCTGAATTTCTAAAAACTACGCAGAAAGAAAAGATCAAAGACTGAAGATTCAATTTGGAAGCTGAAACATTTCATACAAGGAACGCCATCGAGATCATCATCCAGTGATTTAATTGGGACTCCATCCAGATCATCAATAGGAGCAGTATCAATAGGAATTCCATCCACATCTTCTAGTGGAGCACCATCAAGCTCTTCCTCAATGGGAGCACCATCAAGATCATCCGGTACTTCCTGAAAGCAAAAAATATGTCATTATTTCAAGTACAAATCTACATTGCTTTTCTTTACTTCTCCAATTATCAAATAATTTCTATTTTAAAAAGCACTTTTATAAACATCAAAACCTCCAAAAAATCTGCTTCAACAATTTTTGCTAACAAGTACAGTTGCTTATTGTAGAGGAAATAGCAGTATCTTCATGTAAAATAATTTATAGGCAAGAATTTGGAATTTTTACACAATGTACTGGAAGCTTTCCAATACTTGCATTAAAAAGAAGAGATATTAAGTTGAGGTTTAGCTCAAAATCAGTCAATTAGTCAGATAAATCATACTTCCTTGATGTATAGATACTTCTATGGATGTATGGATACTTTACTGGTCTTCCTTCCCAAGACCAGTAAAATGAACAACTGACAAAAATGGATATTTAGCAGGAGCACCAATTTAAGAAACACGCAAATTATACATACAGCTGTGTATTCTAACTTTTTAGGTACAGGCATTGTCCTTCATACATGTGTGTTCACCCTGCTCTTCCACTCTGAGGGATCTGCTTTAGTTAAATTATACTGCAGGCATCTCTCCCACTGCTCTGAAAGGCATCTTTCCACACAGCTACAATGCCTGAAACTCTACTCGGAATTCAGACAGGTATTACAGAGTATTTCCAGCACAAAGGAAATACCTGTCCTTCTGCACTAGTCTTTGCTCTCAAACACTTACACAATGTAATGCCACCACAGCACCTAATCTACTATCAAGAAACACATGAACAGAATAAACAGTATTTGCTTTTGAAAATATGTTACACCTCTACTTAGGAGCAAGGACTTGGAAGGTTTACTCACCCTAAAAGAGAGAGCAAAATAATCCGTGTGAGCCCTATTTTATAATAATGCGTTTTTCCCTGCCATCTATGAGCATAACTCCTTAGGTCACCTACCTCTGTTTCTTTATCTTCCATGATATTTACAAGCCCCAAGAAAATATTCTGCAGTTTGATCAGAAAAGGTTCTGGATAGATTGCCCAGTCTTCCCATGCTCGGAAGCATGTCATCACCCGTTGCTAGAAGCAAGAAGAAAAAATAACTGCTAAAACACTTGTATTGAGAAATTTTATGTGATGGGAAATAGACCACAGAGAACTACTACTGTAGACAACTGTTCTAAAGTAGTTCCATACTAAAATATATTATAATGATACCGTGGCCGGGCAAGACTAGTAATTTTACGAAAATACATTTTAAGAAATCTCATTTGGGTTTCATTTTCCCTTTAAATTCCTGTTACATTATCCATTTTGGCTGTTGCCAGCTCTATCCTGACAGTAAATTTCATTCTGTCCTGATGTTCAAAGCAGGTGCCTCTCTACCAAATCTAAGAGAACGTATCTGTTTGTAAAATAAAATAACTGAAATTAACATTGGCTTACACATATTATTGAACTGAAATTGTGTTCCTACTTTCATTTTGCTCAGCCTGGAGAAGTGAAGGCTCTGGGGAGACCTTAAGAGCCACTTCCAGCACCCAAAGGGGCTAAAAGAAAGCTGGAGAAGGATTTCTTAAAAGGGCAGGTAGTGAGAGGAGAAGGGGGGAATGGCTTTAGACAGAAAGGTCTATTTAGATTTGCTACTGCCAAGAAATTCCTCAATGTGAAGATGCTGAGGCAATGGCACAGGATGCCCAGAGAAGCTGTGGCTGCCCCACCCCTGTGGAAGTGTTCAAGGCCAGGCTGGATGGAGTTTTGAGCAACCTGGTTTAGTGAAAGTTGTCTCTGCCCATGGCAGGGGGCTGGAACAGACGATCTTTTAAAGTCCCTTCCAAACCAAATTTATCATTTTTCTTTATAAAAAGCATATTTGAAAACATGTGTTTCAGTTCAAGTTTGACACACTTAATGTAACTGAAGATGTAGATATATGAAATAATTTAACAAAGTTTTAAAATAGCAGATAACTAAAATTGATTCTCAATCTAGAGCAATTGAGATCAGAAGGAGGACAACCAGGATGAAGATCTTACTGCAGATTAACTACTCTGTAAGCTTTGTATTTAAAG